ACATGTATTCTATAAATGTATTCACTTATATAACATTGTATTCACATGTATATAAGTGTATTCTGAATTATGTATGTTGTTGTATGCATGATTAAACTAAAGCATAGAAAAAGCTGATTAAAAATATGTATTCAGAAAATCATGAATACAGTTATAGCAACATATAAATACACTGATTAAATATGTATTATTATACTACATATATACTAAAGCGGTTAAAAAAATTTAACCTCTGAATTATCTCCAACGGCTATATCATGATATATTTGGCCTTCGGGATTATCATACAAGTTGGCCTCGGTTGACCTTTGAATACCACCATCATGTCTCTCAGTGTATTTCTTTCTTTGATATACCATTTTTGTATTCTGATTGGCTTTAACATGTCCAGAAAGCTTTTTAAAATTTTCATTGATCAATAATCATAGAGAAGTGAACTCGCCCATCACCTAATAATTACACAAACAATTAGAGAGGGGTTAGAACATATAGGAAAGTTAATACATAACCTGTAAAGTTGAATATGTATTAACAATACTTACATAATCCTTGAATGAATTTAGATCCTGCCTCAAGGTAGACAAATCATCAGATTTAGAATCAACTGGATTCTTAACACTTAATACAGTTTCCTTGATTTCAATCTTAGCAGTAGCAGTAATCTTGGCTTGAGGTATTGTGGACACATGTGGTATTGGACTCTTTGTAGTTGAGGGATTAATTAGTTGTTGTTTGTGCTTTTTGTGAGGTGGTGATAAAGATGGACCAACGTTTGCATCATATTTCTTCTTCGGCTGAAGAGGCGGTGTAGGACTAAAGTCATCAGAATCATCTTCATTGTTGTATGTATGAATATGACTTTTGTCTACATCAATGCCATCCGGAGGCACCTGAATAACTGCAAGCTCACTAACGATTGGTTGAATGTTATTGTATTTCATCTGAAAATAGAAATACACTCAATGTAAATCACATTTGCTGTATGATTACTAATATAATCTTCTTTATGCATATGGGCAATTATGTATGTACATGTATTCAATTGTATTGTATAAAAAATTTACAACATTGAATTAAATGTGTAGCTGTAAACTATATTATGTATTCTATTGTATTCCTGTTATTTGTGAAAACATGGACATAGATGTATGATGTATTCAACTGTATTTATTTTTTTATTTTAATATTATTTTTAATTACATAAACATATGTTGAATAAAATACCAGTCAATTAATAATAATAAATTACCACCTTTCCCTGCTCATTGAACATGTCGTTCATCAAGTAAGCATAAGTTGGCTAGTTGTTATTGGATTTCCAATTGAGTATTTTGGGAATCCGGCTATCAACTCGCAGTGCAATTTTGGGACCGACTTTTGAACAACACTCGTACAACCATACTTGCATAGCGAGAGGCATCCCAGCTATCTTGTAATACTTCTTCTGGGAATCCATCTTCTTGCTAATAGATTTGATAAGGGCCTGGAATACCTCCTTACCCCATGGGTAATCAGAATATCTTCCGCTCTCGACCAAATCAAAATGTAATCTTGGGATAGTTGTGCAGTTCTTCTTAGTGGATAATATGAATGTATGTATGAAATACAACACAGCCATTTTAATGGCATTTCCACCGTTGTCAAAACCCCAATTCTTTTCATCAAAGCATTTCAACAAATCTTTCTTCTTGACATTCTTTGTACCGCGAAAGTTTGTATCCACAATCCTGTTAGGCATCTTTGTGTTAAACTCAAAATCTTCAGCGTAACTAATACAATTGAGACCAGTAACTACCGCAAACTCCCTGATTAAAATGTATAATATTGTACCATTCACATATATTAAAAATGAATCAACAGGACTTTTTTCCAGCTGCAGAACCATGAAGCACCTGAACAATTGATGTTGAACCTCACAGTGCTTCATATCGAGGAAACTTCCAAAACAAGTAGTACCAAATAATATGTATTGATCTGGAGTAAGCTTTTCTTTGAGGTCGGAGATTATGTCGGTGTTAGTGTAGGAACTAATATGCGGTGATAAAATACGTGGGTGTTTAACAAAGAGTTTTATTTCCTGCATACAAAAATAATTAAAAAGATAAAATATATGGATGAAAATATAGATGAATACAGTTAGGTTGAATACATAACTCATTCATGAAATGCATCATCATGCATTGATAATTACCACAAAACTGTGAGTTATGGCAATGAGTATTGTTTTAAATATAGATGAATACAGTTAGGTTGAGAATACAGATGAATACAGTTAGATTGAATACATAATTAATACAGAACAATTAGTTTATTTAAAAATATTATTGAGTGAACTAAAATACATATAAATACATCTAAATACAACAGTCAAAAATCATTATACAAAATAAAAATCAGTGTAGACAATATCAAATACATATAAATACATCTAAATACAAGAAGAGACAACCACTGTACAAGCTAATAATCGATGTATGCAGACTCGAATACATATAAAGACATCTACAATTACCTTATCGTTCTGTGTTTCTGAGCTAGTTACTTTAGCGACCTCTTTTCCCTTACTCCCTAAAACATCATCCATAAGTTTTCTTCTTTTTTTCACATCAGGAAGTGCTGATTTTTTCGAAGGTTTCTCAACTTGATCTTGTTTCATAGGGCCATTGCGAATTATTGTTCTCCTTTCGGCTTCAGTGGTTGCTGATGAATCTGCAAATACAGGTTCCGCTTGAGTGATTTGCAAGGGAAAGATGGCCCATCGAAATTGAGTACTTTGGGGGATATACCTCGGATAACCCTCTTCGGAATTGTTGAATCAGTCATTGAAGAGGAAAGTTCAAGTTTTCTGGTGAAAACATAACAATGGTGAATATTTAAAAAAAATTAATAAAGAGAAAAAGAAGAAGCTTTAACCGGCCAAAAGCCAAAAATTTTAACACTTACCACAACCTTTTAGAGCAAAAAAATTAAAAATTGAGGGAGACAATGGCGCTGTGAGAGACTCGTGGTTCAACAATGGGGAAGACAATGGTGCTGTGAGAGAGAGATCGTGGAGAGAGGGAGAGCATAACTGAAAGAATGAGAGAGAAATATATTGGACAACGTATTTAATGGCTTAACGGTAGTGTATACCATAAATACATATTTTACTATAAAAACTAAAAGATAGCTATAGACAATAATATTTTAAATAAATTTTTATTTATAATAAATAGGATGTAAAACTTAGTTATATGAGGTAAAATTTCCTTTAATTTACTGTATATACTTCAAAATTGTAACCAGCATTACAAATCTCCAAGTTAATACCGGTGTAAAAAAAATCATTTTCTAATCCAAGTTATTGGATTTTCTATAGTCCCTTTGCGGAGTCTGATTTAATTTTCCTCATAAGCTCTTAATAATTAATTTAATGATAGTGCTCACCGCACAAAACCGTGTGCCAGTTGTATGGAGATTTGTGAAAACTTTATCAAATGATACAGAAAATAGATAATACACTTACTTGTATACAAGTCAACAGCAATTCGGTTTATTTCAGTTTTCTTGGGCAGTTCACACGCCGCCCCAGCTCCCTAGATAGATTATCTCAATAGGAAAAATAAATGCAACAAAGTGAGGTGAAGAAAAAATTCAACAACCAAAAAGATATTGCAAATACTAGTCATTTGTCAATTACACTTCTATTTCTTTATGTCCTATTTGCTCATTATGTTTGCCAAAAATTAATTGATCCAAATTACTTGTCGTACTAGGAAATTAAAATAGAATTGATGATTTTCTTTCAATTTTATTGTACATAAATAGAGTGATTTGAGAAGTAATGTGGTGAAAGATGAATGATTAAATAATGGTAAATAAATTAGATAACTCTTTATATTAATATTTTCTTAAAGGGTGTGTGAAAGACTAATATGACAATTAAATAGGACCAAAGGGAGCTAGTATTATAGATTGACAGGTTCTTTTTTAAATCCAAAAAAATGTACTATAATTTTTCTTTCCAATGGCAAAATTAAATTTTTAAGAAATTCAAACTCGAGAAGAAAAGGCAAAGATGTACTAAAATTCTGGGAGTATGATCTAAGATTCTATTTTTCACATAACAAAGACATATTTGCTGAACTAAAACTAGTAAAAGAAAATCGAACGCCTAATAAAGGAAATAGCTTCAGAGAAGAAGTAGAAGTCTAAAGATCCGTTCTTGCATTTTAACTACGTTTAGAAAAAAATCAAAAAAATAAAAACAAGGAGAAAAAAAAGAAGTAAAGTTTAGGAAAGAGCTAAATCAATGCCACCATGATTTTCTCCGAAGCTACCTAATTAATTTATAAAATTCACACATGGAAAAATGCTCGAGAAATTAATATGCTTGAATTAATGGCACCAATGCAACATTAAATTCTTATCCATATTTAATTATTTTGTAACGAGTTTTTTCCATTTCTATATAGCAGTAGTATAAATTTCCTTTTTCCAGACTTCACTAGTTTTTTTTTTCTTTTTTTTTATCTTCATTTATTAGACGGTGCCTTAAATTCCCTTTTCTTTTAAAATGTGTTTGGATCCGCCACTTCTCCTTTTCAAACATGACTATAATCAATCATCATTCACGATTTTGGCGGTATCCACCATATTATGGTGAAATTCAATTTGTTATTTTTTAATTTCAACAATAATTTTATTTATTGGATTTTTCTTTATTATTGTAAGGTCGTTAAGATTCCATAATTAACTTTTATTTCCATAATGGGATTGGTTCATTTGTACCACAGCTTTTTTTGTCTTTTTTGGGTAGCTTCCTTCTATATAAGACTTACAATCCATCTCCCCTAAAAAAAACTCCTTCCCCTCAAAAAGATTTTTCAATATTTAATTTCTCTATTTCCCATCTCTTCTTGCAAGTAACACAGTGAGAGTTTGACTGAGAGAGAAAATGGAAGAAATGGCTTCTTTTTGGAGTTACCAAGAGGTGTGCAATACTTCATTTTCTTCTTTATCCATTTTTTCACTTCATTTCCTCTGAGTACCATTCATTCTGTTTAAAGACTTTCACTTCTGAACTAAAGCTTTCTTTCTTAAGATATCCCTTTCCATTCTATTTACTGAATATCATTGTTTTTTTGCTAGAATTCCACCTTTTATATATAGTAACACTAAATTAGTGTAGAGCTTTCTTGCTCCACAGTCAATGATTTTTATGTTAGACTTACCGTAGTTTCTGAAAGAGAGTGTTGGTGTAACTGGTAAAGTTGTTGTCATGTGACTAGGAGGGAAATATTACGTAAAATAGACCCTTGTGGTCCTGACATTCCCCGACCCCGATCTCGCACATAGCGGGAGCTTATGCATCGTACTGCCTTTTTTACTGTAGTTTTTGTTTGGTTAAAGTTGTGCAATACCTATTTTCTTGAGTAGCATGCCTAAAGACTATTTTTTGTTAACATAATTGAATATTTGAAGACTTTTCTCTGACTTGAGTTTATCAAATATTGCAGAACATGGATGAAATGAGGCAGAAACTTATGTACACTAATCTTGAACTTGAAAATTTGAAAGTGGAAAAAAGTGAAGATATGAGGAAGAACAAAGAATATGTGAAGGAATTAATCCAACTTTTGAAGATGGTTTGTCAAGAAAGAGATGAAGCAAGAAAACAACTCCAGAAACTACTCAACAAACTATCTCATGTTCAAGTTGACAGTCCTATTTTCAAGGCTAGAAAAGCAAATTCAAGCATAACTGAATCAAACAGCCTTTCTGAAACATACAATTACCAATCACACAATTCATCCCCGGTCGAGTCATTTTTTGATGCATTTACATCCCCTGAATTTTCCAACAACAACATGGCTGATTCAAATACAGTTGCCTATGATTGTAACGTTCCATTCTCGGACAATTGTGTTCCTCAATTGGTCCCAAAAGTTGATCAGGCTACATTGGTTATTGACAATCTTGTAAAGGGGAAAACTTTGCCACAGAAAGGGAAACTATTGAAGTCTGTTATTGAAGCAGGACCACTTTTGCAAACACTTTTAGTTTCAGGGCAACTTCCTCAGTGGCGAAATCCGCCTCAGGTTAAGACGTTTAATATTCCACCAATTTCAATTAAAGGGTTTGAAGCTGAGATTACGAATCAGAATCTTGTTTCAAGATCTTTGCAATTAAACTCAGCCTTATTTTGAGATGTCATGTGGTTCTTCACAAATGGTGTCTACGTCTATGTTAAACTTTGCTAACTCGTTTCCTGTTTGGAAAATCAGAGTTTGATATCTGCTGGTCAAATATGAACAGTTTTGTCCTAGGAAAGAGACAAAGGTTGCAGTGAAATAAAGTTATAGGATGAAAAGCCTATGCTTCCAATTTTTGTATAAAGCAGATTGCCAGGTTTAAATGGCTATATTGAGTTTTAACATTTTCCACAAGATAATTGTTAAGATGGATGGATATGTTGTCATAAAATGAGATGGTTTAATCATCTCGTAGATAGCTTTTGAGATTTATCGACTTATAAGTTTGACAATATACTTATAGAACATGTTAATAGTAAAAGAATGTAACACTCGAAATGATCGATTTTACAAAGATTTTATTGGATTCTGGAAGCTCGTAGCATTGGTCAGGCATAATTTCCAAACTTAATAAGCTAGCGTCGTGCCTGCCGGCCCATGACCTATTGCCTCCAACTATTGAAAGCAGCGTGAATTTGCTTTCAATCATCTTGAAGCCACATAAAGAGAAAGATATATGAAAAAATTTTGAATCTCCCAGAGTTAACACAGACATAGTCTAGAATTGAATGAACTTGTATTTTGTAAGAATGGATATATTGACTTAATTGAATGAACTTGTATTTTGTAAGAATAGATATATTGACTTAATTGAATGAACTTGTATTTTGTAAGAATAGATATATTGACTTGACTAATTCGGATCGTGTCAAGTACGTTAATATGGGGTAAGTGCTCCTTATAAAATAATTCATATTTCTCGTAGTTTGAGTCTAGACTTCTGGTTAAAGATGGAAAAGTCACATCTTACTACATTGTTGGGTTGTGCCATCTCTATACTCTATTAAATGTGTGTATGCTTTGACCAATGACCAGTCTTTTTCTTCACTTCATTCATCCTCCTGCTCTAGGACATCCACTTGTCATAGCATTAAAATAAACCAAAACCTAGCTTTGTCTATAATTAGCAGCCTCAGCACATGTTTTAACTGCTCATGCACATATCAATGCATTACTATCTTTCCATCAAATCAGTGGACTTCGTGTCAAAATTTCCAACTTGTAACAGTTGCAAACTTATTCCTTCACCACAAGATTCTTCAGCATAAACCATAACTAATGAAGTTGAGTTTCTAACTAAACTCAAAAGCGCAAAGGCAAAATGATTGTTCCTACATACATCTCTAATAATTATGCTGAAAGGTTATATATTTTGACTTTACCTGACTATATTTGCCTACATTACTTTTATGGAGTTTCTCTTTAATTCCCTCCACTTTCCACCTTTATGTAATTAAGTGGTCTTCTAAATCAAAAGTACGTAGCAGCTCAATTGGGGCAGGCACATAATTAAAGTTATATCTTTCTCAATTTAAGCCAATAATGTCCCCACAAAGTCTTGTCTAAGTCTAAATTTCAGTCTTTCTCGGCACAGGTTGGTTGATTTTGCTAAGACAAAAAGACTCATTTTCATACAAGAGTCAATCTTTGACCACACTAAAAAGCTTCTTCTTTTCCTTTCTTTTTTGCCGTCATATACCTACTACTATAGAGTGACCAATTAAGGAATTGAGTAAACGTGGACCAATTATTATGTTTCCCTAACGCACATGGAATTTCCCTATCTTGACAGGATATATAACACATACTACTATGATGTTGTAATCGCAAATATTGAAGTTACTTTCATGTTTCATTTAGTTCAATTCTTTCTAAATTCATTCTCTTACCTCACCTCTAATGAAGATAAAATTGCTTTACGTAAACTTGACATAATGTGGATACAACCCTTGATATCAAACATTTTGAATAAAAAGAGTAACTCGGTGCACAAAGCATTTCGAATTTACGTAGGGTTCGAAAAAGGTCGCACCTCAAGGTGTGATGTAGACAGTCTACCTTGATGCAAGTAATAGTTGTTGCTTCGACGGCTCGAACCTGTGACATATAAGTCATACAGAGACAATTTCGTCATTGATTCAAGACTCCTGGCCCTTCATTTCGAAAATGTTGAATAAGAAGTTGAAAAACGTCCAATATTGATATCAAGAATATGTGGCTAATAAAACTCCCTACACCTACACATACATGTGCGTAGCTACTCTATAATTTACGTTAATCTTTAGAAGACCCTATCGTAGAGAGAAAATAGGAAGGCCAAAATAAATAAGGTAGCTGCTTAGACTCACATCCAATGCACATATATTTTGCAATCATAGCTAGAAACTTTAGATTTACATGGACGGGATCAATGGGTGATCATAAAAGCCTATAGTCTACTTAGAGGCGGATCTAGAACTTTTATAACATGGGTATACCATTAAAAAAAAAAAGATAGAAGAGGAAGTTTTACGTGGGATTTGATCCCTAGTCCTCTAGGTAAATAACTCAACATTCAACCAAGTACACTATTTAGCCTCTTTGGAGCATGGGTGCCACCAGATAATACTAGACCAATTCTAAAAAATATGTACATAAAATACTTAGTTTGACGGAAAGACCGTGAGTTCACGACCAAAGTATTTGCCTATAAATCCGTCCATGAGTCTACTGTTGGTAGTCTTCATTACACTGAAAGGGCGCCAGTCTAAGGTCGATCAAGTAACAGAGCTTAGGTTATAATTTGTGACAGCAAGAGCCTTCGATCGCAACCCCTATCCAAAGGCGGATATAGATATAATCTTAATAAATATTAAATATGAACCTACAGCTTTAATAATAAATGAATTTAAAATAAGTTTGAACCCATTAAATTTAAATTTTGAATTATGTATGTACCTCTCAAATAAGAGCTAGAAAGTCTAAATATGATATCAAACATACAAAAGCAGGGCGGTGCAACTACCTACAATATTTGCATTTTGCAACTTAGAACGTTAGATGAGTACAAAAAGGTGCATGTGCCATTAGATACGGGAGAGGTGACAAGTGTCGTACTAGAGGTGGCTGTTACTCTTAGTATAATACTACCTTGTTTGAAATGTTTGTACACATGACTTTGTACCAAACTTCCTAATAATCCCATGTGCAAAACCGGACAATATAGCTTTCTTATCTTAATACAATCCTTAATACTTTTACCACTCACTAATTAATGGCAATAATTAACATACCCTTTAACTATGCTCCATAGATTCAACTATATGATCCCTATGGCTTTGGTTTATCTGAAATAAAAAGCATTGAATTTGATTGTTATAGTATGTCATGCACTAATATTCTAAATTATCTTGCCTTCTCTAGACTGACAATATTCTAAGCTCAAATAAAGCCTGTTAATTATTGAATCCAAAGCTTCACTACAAGAAGTTGTATACGGTCGAAATAGATTTTGGTCTTCCTACGTTCGATCGAGTTCGAGTGTTAAAAAGTCGGAATGAGATTTTAGGAGTGAGCTCTGAGGTCGGTACTAACGAACCTCGAGCCCGAAGGTCACTCGAGGAGGCGGCTCGATAATCCTATCGAGCCCGTGACCGAATCGATCCGCAAGGCACTGCTTCGAGGTCGGAAATACGCGACGCCCATCTCGAAGGTCGAACTCGATCCAAGACCGAAGGGCCGACCCAGTAACGAGTTCGAGCTAGTATCGAGCTCACAGACAAGAGCCGTTGCAACCGCACTAAGAGAGAAAATCTTGGTTTGAATTTAGGAAGAGACAAGTCATCATGGGTCTTCCACTATATGTTTTATTTTATTGTTTTTTGTAATGACCCTCTTTTATAAAAGGGGGAATCCTTGTAAGTTATGGGGGGCGGGAACAAAAGATCACTTCTTATATTGATAGTTATCACATTGTGCTTGTTTTACTTATTCATTCTTTTTGCTTATTATTTTTATTCTCACAGTCAACGATACACATATTTCCATTTCTCTACGCGATTTATATCGAATTGTATCGCATATCCTTAGAACCATACACAAATCTAACGTTATCTGATTTTTCTGGTAAACAGTTTGGCACCCACCGTGGGGCTAAGGGTAACAGTGATCGTTTGATATAAATCTAAAGTACACCCCAGTTTGCAACATCAAATCAGCAATGGCTTCACCTATCGACCACAAAACTGGCCTTCAAGATGAAACCAACAACTTGGCACCCGGGGCTGGAAGGCCACTCGATGATAGCACTGAAGCTCGAATCGAAGCATCTAAAATTCGAGCCGAAGTACCATTGGATGTCAATTCACAAATAGCTCTAGAGGCGAATCATCGTTCCGAACCGGAAAGAAGCATTCAGGGCGGTACTCGATTCATAGCTCGAGACACCCATAACGTGGAGGAGATCGGAGTCAGCTTACGGATGATCTTCGAGATGTTACAAGCCCAGAAAATAGCGATAGCTCAGTTGCAGAGCCAAACTCAGGTACAAAGCAGGTCGGAGCCCAATCCGCTTCGAGAAGTCACCCACAGAACGGAACCAGCCATAGAGAAGTCAAATGAGCAAGAATCAGGGACTACTCCCGAAATTACTAAACAGCTCGAGGAACTCAAAAAACGAGTCGAAGCCAATGATAAAAAAGTAGAAACATATAATTCTAGAGTCGACCAGATCCTTGGAGCTCCACCAATGATAAAAGGTCTAGATTCAAAAAAATTCATTCAAAAGCCTTTCTCCTCGAGTGCAGCCCCAAAACCAATCCCCCAAAAATTCCGTATGCCCGAAATACCCAAATATAACGGAACGACCGACCCCAACGAGCACGTTACTTCTTACGCGTGTGCCATCAAGGGTAATGATTTGGAAGATGATGAGATTGAATCTGTATTATTAAAAAAAATTGGTGAAACCCTGTCAAAGGGGGCAATGATATGGTATCATAATTTACCATCTAACTCCATTGATTCTTTTGCTATGCTTGCAGATTGCTTCGTAAAAGCACATGCCGGAGCCATAAAGGTCAAAACCAGAAAGTCGGATCTGTTCAAGGTAATACAAAAGGATAACGAGATGCTAAGGGAGTTCGTAGCTCATTTTCAAATGGAACAAATGGATCTGCTACCAGTCACAGACGATTAGATTGTTCAAGCTTTCACTCAAGGTCTAAATGAGCGGAGCTCGAGGGCTTCACGGCGGCTGAAGCAAAATCTGATCGAGTACCCAGTTATTACTTGTACCGATGTGCACAATCGATATCAATCCAAAATAAGAATCGAAGATGACCAGTTGACTTCTAGGTCCATTACGAAAAAGCAAAAGTCGACCAGAGATCGATACCAGCCATATAGCGGAAACGATACTACTGCTGAGTATCCGAGGCCTCTTTAAAATCAACCGCG